GTGATCTGAAGAGGGCTGTGCATAGGAGATGCCCTCGCAATCTGACAGTTTTGGAGTGTTTTTGCAAAGAAGAGTGGGCAAATATTGCAGAGTCAAGATGTGCATTGCTGATAAACTCATACCAAAAAAGACTGAGTGCTGCAATAACATCAAAAGGTGCTTCGACAAAATGTTAGTTTAAGGGTGTGCACACTAATGCAACCACATTATTTTAGTTTATTTTTTACTTCCCACTGAAAAACAGATTTCAGTTTGTTTTCAATTGAGTTGTACAAGTTATAGGTCACATTAAAGGTGGCTAAAGTTCTGGAATTATTTATCTTGGTCTTGTTTTTTTACATCACAGAAACCTGGCATTTTAACGGGTGTGTAGACTTTTTATATCCACTGTAAACTGTTATTGGGGTTTAAATGTGTGGATGATGATGTTCACTAATATACCTCATACAATTGCATTTTGTTACTGGGCTTGTAGGACAAGGATGCCAAGTTCCGCCTGATTCTTATTGAGAGCAGGATCCACAGGCTGGCCCGTTACTACAAGACCAAGAGGGTACTGGCCCCCAACTGGAAGTAGTAAGTATTAGTTCTCCCATGGAAAAATTTCCTTGTTGTGTTTGTTGAGACATAAAACATGTCATCAGCCAAATGCTAATTAGTTTTTTTTACATGGCAGCGTGGTTTCCCACCTGCCATGTTCTTCTGGAGACACAGGAATCGATTAGAAACTCCCTTTTATCCCAGGATGTGTATTTGCTTGTAAAATGTAAACACACTTAACACAAACACTGGTTTTGTAGAATTATATTGAACTTTTCAACATGGTTATATGCATGAAAAAAATGCACAATTCATTGTCCTGCTCCTCCCCTGATTGAGGGTAGTGATATTTCTGTTGTGCTAGAGAAACTGTTGGAGGTAAATTAGCAGACTGGTAACTCTGTGCCACCTCTGCCAGTCCCCTTCACACAGTAAAATTATATATTGTGGTTTCTACTACACTGATTTGACTTTTTAGGCATTGGACTAGCTGCTTTTCGAATTTTAAAATAATTATACTTGAAGCCACACAGAGATTTGATATTGGCTCACATTTGAATGGACACTGACAGTTTTTTTGTTTTGTTTTTTTTTTATACCTTTTTCTCACACGACAAACTAGTCTAGCATTTTCTTGTTGGTTTTATTGGCAACACTTAAAGTCTCCGTATTTAGCGTTTATTAATGGGGTGGGAGGGACTTAAATCGTTTGTGGTGGCGATTTTGAAGAGTGCTCCCTCTAATGGTTTGTTTTCTTTCTGTTTACAGTGAGTCCTCTACAGCTTCTGCTCTGGTGGCATAAACTCTACACATTTTGGTTTAATAAAACAGTTTAAATTGGGAATTTTTCTGTTTTTATTACGGTCATGGTCATCCCCAACCCCAAAGCAGGCAAATGCCTTGCAGTGACAGCAGCGCCATCAGTGTGTGTGTGTGTGTGAGTTGAGGCCATGTATGGCTGCCTCGGGTCTGTATCGGACACAAATTCATTGTTTGTAACCTGCTTGACCAATAAAAGTAAATTTATCATTAATCATCCAATAATATGCATTGTGAACTGTCATTTTGCATAAGTACTTTTCCTTTTATACATCAGGTATATTTTGCAGATAACCTTTGTGCTTATTTTAAATGCAGGACTTTTACTTGTAACAGTAATTTAACATTATGTTGTTGGCAATCAATTATAGTCTGAAAACTATCTATTGTTTCTTAATGGTTTCGCTTTTTGAAGTTTTCGCTTATTAGTAATAGCGGCTATAAAAAAGGGTTTTCCTGATAACCTGGGGAACTTACGAGCTCTTTCTATGCGTCAGACGTTACGTAAACATTGGAGGGCGGAGACTTTGTTGAGTGACAGCTACTTTGCCCAATGACAGTGTCGAGTGACGTCAACCTGTTTATTTTTAAGGGCGAGTGTTGCAACGTCGAGACATTCACTTCTACTACAACAGCAAAGACAACAAGACTGAGAAACATGGAGAAACTATATGGGGACATTTGACGAAGGAGATCGAAAAATGACACATACTTGCTGGAAAATGAAGCGACACATCGACGTATATCTGTCACCGACAAATACGCGAAGTCTTTTGGTTTTCGACAAGGAGTATCAGAATACGTGAGGATATTTCTTAACATTATCTCCATAATCCGAAGAGGAGAGGAGAGCGGTAAAAATGGCTACGATCGTGGGCGCAGCGAAGGGTTCTGAACGGACGGCGATGGAGAGGTTCGGTAGCGGAGGGATGGCGCTTCTGCCTTGGACCAAACAGATGCTCACCGTATTGTGGGAACAGCTTCGGCTGCTGGTACAGGTCATTTACTACACCTTCATTTCAGGTAAGGAAACAAAAGTACAATTGTAACGTGTTACTTTGTTGGTCTTTTAGCTGTCACATTGCTGTGACAACGTTTAACCATCGTGATGTGTTTATGATAAATGGAAAGTCCCGTGACCGTAAAGTAAAGTGATTTAAAGTCATGGTTTGATGCTCTTCTTTTTGTAGTATCGTTACCTTTAACGACATAACAGAAATTCGGAACTATACAAAAAGTTATTATAGTTAAGGTTTTGAAACCCCCTATAAATTTTTACTTCTTACTGTGTTCGTAGTGTTTGGTTTTTAGAGATTCAAGATGATTGTCTTAGCGGTTAGTTAGTGGTCTCTTACTCTAAATTTTAGCCTTTAATGTCTCTGATACACAAAAGCGAGTTATACTGTATATATTGTAAGTAACTATGTTATAAATCGTGATGCACAATGCTGCTGCCAGAACTGACAATACATAACAAATATCAGGTTCCACCTAGAGTATAAGTTTAATGGCTCTTGGTTACACAGACGGTTTTATTTCTGAATCTCTAAATTTCCAAAATAACATTTGCATGCCATAATGGTGTAAAGAAGATTGTAATAACTCTTTGACAAAATTTAACTAAAGTTATTCTCTGTTGAATTTCAGTCCATTCTAATACTTGTCTCCCCCCCACCAGTTTTCCAGATGTTCAGGTTTGAGGTTCACGTGAGAATCACAGATGAGACAGGTCAGCGCATCCAGCACATGAGCACAGCAGCAAACCCGACTGATTCCTTCCTGTTCTCCTCGCTGTTTGACGGAGACAACACAGTCGTGGTCGGTGGTTCAAATCCCCTCTCCAACTTCTGTGCTGACGTTGGCGACCCCTTCACCGGGAAATCCACTGCAGAAGCCCTGCTGTCCAGTCTGCGTGCTGACGATCTGTGCTGCGGGCTAGTGGACGACTTTGTGTCCAGGACAGCTGGTACTGAAGACGGCATCTTTCTTGGCCACCAATCTACCTGGAAAATGGGCTTTCCTGGTGACTGGAACATCTTTGTAAGCAGCGACAGCTCTGGTTCAAACGACACTTGCCATAAAAGTAGTGAGAAAGTCTTCAAACAAGATATTTCAGAAGAGGAGAGAGGCTCTCACTGGAGTAGCGAGGAAGACCAGAACATAATAGAATTTGACAGTGAGGAAAGTAAGGCACTTTGGGAGTCTCTGTCAAAATCTAGTGATCCTTACAACCCCTTCTTTTTCTCTGCGTGTATTTCAACAAATCCAAACATGGGGAAACATAAAAGCGAAACGAGGGACAGCAGTGGTACTGACCTTATGTCAGTGAGCAAGGCCAGTGAGGAGATGCTGGGGCCTCAGGGCCTGAATATCTGGGTCAGTCGCTCTGACAGTGAGAGCAGTTGGAGCAGCTGGGCCAGTTCGGAAGGTTCAAGCCCTGACATCGACAAGGAGGAGAGCGAGAGGCTTTGGGAGTTCTTCAGCAGTCCTGAAGACCCCTACAATCCCATGTGCTTCACTGCTAGTACAGTCAGCAGCACATGTCCTCTAACCACCCCCACCCTCACAGTCTCCAAACGACATGCCTCACTCCCCGCACGCCCCACCAAGTCAGACACAGACACTGAGGAGAAGGAGAGCAGCTTTGCTCCTTCATCTGAGGATGATGAAGAAGAGCAGCTGTGGAAATCTCTCTGTCAAAAAGATGACCCCTACCACCCTCTCAACTTTCAGGCCTGTCTCCAGAGCTCCCCACCAGCAGCACTCCAGTCTGGAGAGGAGCTAGATGTCTCTCACGCCCCAAATCCCCCCACAAATGGAAAGAAATGTGAAAAAGAGGTGAAAACACTACAAAAATCCAGCGCCTCAAAGCCCGCTTTGTCAGAGAGGCGATTAAAGCATCACTCCCATCCTGACAAGACACTGGTGCCCTGGAAAAGACCTGGACAAACACCCCAGTCACCCCTAAAGGAGGAGGAGGAAACCATGGCCAGCAGCACCCAAAAAAAGGTCATTGTCTAGTAGCACTTTATAGTTAAACTGCCAGCCAAGATTAGATGTAACGTTAAATTAGACCCCTGTGGAGTTAGAGTTAAAAGTCTACTTTGTAGACACTGTAGTATAACTGTTCCACTTTACTCTCAGGAGATGTTTTCAAATGTCAAAGTGAAAACCTAATTTCTCAATTATGTTCGAAACATTGCCTTTAAGTGGAGGACACATTGACCAACGTGTACACTGGAAAGCATGTGATCCTGTGTTTGAAGTCATAACTATCACAGGGGAGTGTCTCCTGCTGACTGAATGGGCAAGATAAGGGTTAACTCACTGTACCACACAGTGTGTTAACCTGAGTTGTTGTTTGTTGTGGGTTAGCAACACTGCTGGTTGTTATGACTAAGCCAGTCATGTGACTGCAGCGAGTCAGCGGAGACTTTGACTTCCACATGGATTAAATGAAGTTGCAACAGTATTTCAAAGCAATTTTGAAAAACTTCTTGATTAAAACCTTATTACATCAGGCTGAAAAACAAAAGCCCTGAGTCGCAGTCTTAACTCTGCACAGCCCTCTCTGTGAACTGACTGTGTATAGTGATTTTTATTTGGGATGGGATCTAAGCCATGTAAAACTTTGCTCTTTTTAACAACTCTTATTTGAGGTTAAATTGCATTCATTTCAGATTATGAACCTAAAAGGAGCACGCACATCATATGGACACCAGTGTTCTAGTAACAAAATGTACTGAATTTTTGTCTTATTTCCTTCTGGATTTCAGGTGAGATTTTCTCCTCTTGTCCAAGTCCATGTCATGCGGACCTGGCCGTTTGCTCGACAGGCATCACGCAAAGGACACTGGGAAGAAATGGCGAGGGACCGGGACCGTTTCCAGAAGCGGATCCGGGACACAGAGCAGGCCATCGGTCACTGCTTCACCCAGCCCCACAGAGAGAGGGTGCGGGCGTACCTGGATGGTGCCTTGAGATAAAATAAACAAGTCCTGAACACTGAATGTTTCATTTCCTTTTTGGATGAGAACTTGTGATTGGTTGCAATGCAACAGTGATTTTGATTTAGGCCAGTTAGAAATTTGATTTTAGGCCAACTTTAATGTTTGGTGTCAAGTTGAACAACCTTGTACCTCAAAAGGTTTTATATATTGTGTAATTGTTGCACTAATTGACACTTTCTTATATTAACCTCAGTGGAATGTTGTTTTTGTATGCCTTGTATACTGACCTAGTAATGTCACTTATTTATGCCCTATGGAGCTTGTTGTTATTTTTTACAGTTTTAAAACATTTGTATGTCTTTTTTATGTGTGAAAAAACTGCTGTGGTGACTAGAAGTTAAAGTAGATCATGATGATATCATTAAAAGCAGAGCTTTACAGTACAAAGTGTTTTGAAACATTTTATTTATTTAAGCATTCCAGTGCAATTCTATTCTAATTTGTTTTTGTCTTGAATTTTTTACATGATGCAACATAATGGAAGCCTCTTAGGACCAAGTGTGTCTTTATTATACTGACAAGAAAGATCCAAACACCACGCGACTCGCTCAGCTTCTCCTGGTATCATCATGTAGCTGAAAAATGTGAAAATTTATCTGTAGCAAATTTGTTATTAGGTGCTTTGTCAACTCAATAAACACAATGTTTGCTGACAAAAACATTTCCCGTTGCCAAGTCTTGCTTTTGTATATGTAAATTACTTAGGGTTATTTGTATATCTGTTGTTTCCTGCCTTGAGCAAGAAAGGGAAGTGGAGACGGAACACCAGTTCCCAGAATGGTGTAAACTAACACCCACACTGGGTCAGGTTTCTCAGCGGGGTGTGTACTGGAGTAGCAATTATATTTAGCTACTGTGGCCTTTTGTGGGGACACGTTCTCAGGCAGTGACTTCACAAAAGGCCAAAAGCTATTTTAATGTTCAAACTTTCCAAAACATTTAGTTGTCAGGTTTCCAGTGAATCACTGGTACTGTTGAACTTGTGCACATCAGTCACACACGGCCTGTGGTTGGACTCCCACAACAGCAGAGAAGCATGTGTCATCCGCCATCAAGGGACTTAACGAAACAATGGAAGGAATACAACATAAGGCAGCATCTTCAACCTCACCGCGGCCCAGCAAATGACCTCTCCCCCAGTTTGACCACACCCAGGGCGTGAGGTTTCCAGTACACACCTGTGTGTGTGACTTCCAGCTGTGTCACCTGATGACATGCAGGTAAAGATGTCTGTCTGTTTGAAACTCTGAAAAATTAGTTTGAGAAATTTTTAGACAACTATAAATACAACCATTATTCCAAAAGCTATTCACAGCTTCTAGTTATGACCTTCTTCACATTAACATTTACTCATGTACGCTGTTGATACAGCAGATATACGTAACCTAACCATCAAAAAAAGAAATAAAAGTTAAAATTTTCAACTAGTTTTGCCCAGTTTCATATCCTCTGAGCAGCATCTCCAAATCTGTGCATACTGGGTTTTACGGTATGTATGCCGTCTCTAGTAAGAAGCTATTCCACATCCTTACACCCTAGTCAGCCATGCAGGTCAAAAAATGTATAAATGCTTATAATCTGTAAACATTTGGTTTAAAATGTTCAGCCAGTTTTATCCAAAATGTGCATGCATGTGTCTTATAGCATGTGCACTCTCTGGTAATGTGCAGCTGCAAGATCCAGTTGAATGTGCAGAGCGTGTTGAAATTTTCCAACATAATGTCTAAAAATGGATTTTATTTGCCCGTCCTAATCCTTCTCTGCTTAATATTTCAGGGCTCCATATTCATTTCCTTCTCATGCACCTAGTCTCTCTCGCTCACCTCCACACACGCACTCAGGAGCTTATAATTTCCCTGAGGGCTGCGTGTCTCTGAGCAGACTGAGTGCTGTAAGGCTGTCGTAAGACGAGGGTAAAAACACCAAGTATGATGAAATGACTTTCCTGAGGGATGAAATCAATTAGCAGGTCTCCACTGCTCACACACACACACACACACACACACACAGAGCATGCTGAAGAGCCGAGCAGTTGCTGATGCTGTTGCTGTGTCAACCCAGCAGTGGGTCTTTTGCTGGTGTTGTCCCGCATGTTGTGCACACTCATCTCCTGCTGGTGTTACACACAGAAAAAATAAGGTTCTTTGGTGAGGTTAGAGGTTCGATGTAGAACCAAAATAAATCAAAGATGTGTAGACTTCAGCGTTATAATGAGCATGTCGCTTTAGTAAACCTTTCAACAGCCTTCTGTAGCACCTGTGAGATCTCTGCTAAGGCAAGGAAGCCATTTTCAAGGAAAAGCTTGAAATACATTAAAGGCTAGAATACTATTTAGCAACATAACCAGACATTCAACCAACCAAGCAGCCTACCGTCCAGTGCAGAGGTCGCTAGTTTTTAACTGGTTATATTTTAAAATATAATAATTAAACGAGCACACAAAAAAAGAAGTGTCAGATAGACTATTAAAAGAAACCACAAAATGTATTGTTTATTATAATCAAGCAAATAAGGGGTTTTGGGAGAGTCTTCCAGTTATTTCAAGGACAGCAAGTGTCATGTTTTGTCCAGATTGGAAAGACCTTTAAGGTGAATATGGGATTTGTGATTTGAGGCTGTATAAATAAACAAATAAATTCAGATTTTACTAGGATGAGTAAAGCTGCTACCATACGATTTGTTTTCATCTAGTCGTCTGATTTGTTATGAACCTGAAATTTTTTTGCTCCCGACATTTTCTGAGCCAAATCTGTTATTTACCACCATCAAATCATGTTTTTCCTATTATGAAACCCCGAGGAGCCATTTTTCAAGATTTTTTTCCTTGCCGCTCCATCTTTTTTCCTGAGGCTTCTGAAGCTGACCTGATGACACTGGCTGTGAGCCTAGACAGAAAAGCAAACTGTTTTTTTTCTTGGTGTGTGAAGACGGTGGGGTGTTGTGTTTGTCCATCTGATCTCCCTCTGCCTGTCTCTCTCTTTGTGATTCGACCATACCACAAGCACATTCAGCTAGTGCTTTTCTCCTATTCACAGTGCAGCCGAGGTTTCATTGTGCTGCTCAGGGGCACAACAGCAAGACATGAAAGGCAAGTTGAACCTGTTACTTGTTCAGCTAAAGGATGAATACGCCACCATGTCGTCCACTGCTGCTCCCACTTATTCTTTCCCTGTCTTTCATTTTGAACCCACTCCCCTCTTCCAGTATCATTAGCTCTGTGGCCTAGGCGACCCCGTCTCCAGGCAACAGCTAGCAGTGGCAAAGCGTCGAAAGGATTGCATGTGATTGCAGCAGCGGCAGAATCACCTGCAGTAGCGGAGGCAGTGGGTTTTCGGCTGCACACACACACACGTGGTTACCCCTCTCGCTTGCCTGCAAGAGAAGGTTATCTCCTGGGTCACAATTAGCTGATGATGCAACCTACCAGCAGCTATTGTGTCTGACACCAATTCATACAGACAGACTGTATGAAATGCAAAAGGCAAAAAAGCTGATTTTCCAGTTTGTTGTAAGTATATTTTGTGTCCAAAATACCAGGAATAATCGATCTCCTGATGCTCAGTTATACAGTTTTATGTAAAATCTGCTCTCCATTTCTGTTGTTCTGCACATTTATACCTTTGTTTCATGACTTACACTTGCATGCTTTATGTTTGAACAGCCTCCTCATGAATTGCATGAAATTATATTTAGTGTTTGTGTAAGTTTAATATTTAAGGCACATGGGGGATTAATACGTTCACTTATGTTCAGCTCATCTTGCTCTGTGATAAACAAAGTGGACTTCACGATTCCTTGTGGGTCCTTCAGTGGGCTCCAGTTAACTTTGACTGCAGGGAACAAATGAAAACAGCAATTAAAGAAATACCCCTTCATTATCAGTCTGACCACATTTACCTCCCCAGAAACGTAACTCATACAGTAAATATGAAGTAGACAGTACGAAATAGTCTGACATCAACATACACAGTAAAAACCTGTCTAATTCAGTTCATGAGGATTAGTGTATCTGACCAACACCCAGGGCAGTGGAGTTATTGCATACTTGATCATTTGAATGGGTGTAGTGTTTGGTTTGAAACACTAGAGGGCACTGCTCTCCTGTGGTACGTGAGCGTGCACACAAACACAACGGTTATACAGGAGTAAGAGATGGCCACAGAAGGTTCCGTAACCACGTGACTTTTGTCCCTGCATCAGGTGACAAATGAAAGTAAAAACAAACAAGACCTTTAAAGACACCACCTTTGAACGTCAGTGTAGACATTTTTCTTGTTTTTGAAATTCTGTCAATGAAAAGATCAATCAAATAGTCAAGAAAACGATCACCACATGTATCAGTGACCCCTGCATTTTTAAAATACTCACAAATTAATTTAGGATTTTTCTTTAATTTGTCACGGAATGATAACATAAATAATTTCAAGTAAAATGTGTTACTGTTTAAAATATAAGCAGTTAATATACCCTAGTATATTCTTAAAATATTTGAATACGAGTGGTATCAAAACCAGAAATGTATTTGTTTATTTATTGGCACGCGTGTTTGTCTGTTTACCCGTAGTCACCATGACACAAAATACAACCGTTAACATCGTATGCGGCAGCTTCCTTCCAAACCCGGATGACCATATTTGGATTGAGCGCGTCATCTGTAGTTTGGACAATAAAAAAAACTCGTCTAACCACTGAACAACTATTATGTATCTCTGCTGCCCCCATGTGGTAGAATTTACAACATCTAGACCAAAGGAAATAAACACAAATTTCATTTAAGACCCTACTGGGATTATATTAAAAAAGGTAAAACACTTCTCTTTCTGCTGTTAATTTCTCAAGGCAACGTCTTGCAAGAGGAAGCAGAGTAGAAGTCAAAGGCATTCGTTCCGCACTACAAAATAAAAACCACATTATTGAAGATGATTCTGTGCCGTTATTGTATCTAACAAGTTAAAGAAGAAGAAATGATAGACGAGAGAGGGATGGGTAGGTCTAATGATATCCACCCACAGCTGGATATGAACCAGGGGTGTGGCTGTTCACAGTTGGCACCTCACATCTCTACTATAAGAAAAAATGTACAGTGTTAACGGTATTGATGCAGTGTCGAGCTCTGAAACATCTGATATATTCCCTGGTTTGGTGTTGTCGTTTCTGTCCAGCGATGAAGACATATCACCATCGCATTGCAGTACAAGTGAAATAAATATCAGAAATGACAAGAAAAGTGTTTTTTCCTGTTTGTAACATAACATGTTTGGCCTGTTCATATATTGTTGACATTCCACAAACTATTAGAGCTATTTTGATTAAATAAAACTGTGCCATCAATACTGTGTATTTTTCTTTCCCCTAGTCAGCAGGCAGATGATATCTGAGTTCCACCAGGGGGAGACAGGATTATGTGGATGTTTTAAAAGGCGTCTATAGAACATGATGCTCTTGCTATAGAAATCAAAATGTAAAAAAAAAAAAAATAAGAATCTGGAAAACAAAAAAGCCTTGAAGGCTTCATACTGAAATGTGTTGGTCTTCTTATTAAAGTTGCTCAAAACACTGCAAGTGTTGCTGGACCTTTTGTTTTCCAGTTTGTTTTTCCCTTGTCCCACCTTGACAGTGGGTGAACTTGTGCCAGAACTTCCTGCTCTTTCGCC